CATAATGCTGCTTTTAGGAGACACAGGCATTCCCAATGGACTGGGGGAAGCTTTTCTATAATTCATAAAAGGTAGGCTTCAGGGGTTACAGTCCCTGCAGATGTGACTTCTGCCACCTGCTAACGCACCTTTCTGTAAGTGCCAAAGGGCAGAGTGCAAAACAACAAGGGTTTTGTTAACTTTAGTGAGCTCTATATAAGCAACATGTTTTAAAAGTGATGTAAGCTGTTGCTGACATTTCCTGGAAGTTTTCCTTGGTTTTTGCCGTCTGTGACTCAGCATCCACTTGTGACAGTTTAGTAGAGGTTTGTCTGTATTTAGTATCACACATAGATCTAACATTAAAGTAACAGCCTGATATAAACAGTTTCTTCCTTTATGCGTTTTCATTTGACCTGTCCTAACCCTTCTCTATGAGGCTACATTTGATTCATGAAATTTCCCCCAAAGGGAGAGGAGAAGGGGGATTCTCTGTATTTGTACCCTGGATATTTCTACATTAAAGAGGCATAATTTTAGGATATGCATAGAATTTAAGCAAAATGTTCATTAGAACACATTTCATAAAATTATTAAAATGATAATGCTATAATAAAAAAAACCTGCATGATAAACTTCATGGTATTTTTCTACCTCAAATTTCCCTCAGAAACAAACTATGCAAATCTTCTCAACATTTAATACTAGATAGCAACACCAGGTAGTAAATTACGTAGAAGACATCCTTAGTCTTCCAGGTCAGATTTAATATTTTCATCTCTTTAAAACGTAAGAAAAGGGTAGCTAGGTGGCATAGTGGATAGAATGCAGGGTCTGGAGTCATTTGTGAGTTCAAATCTGGCCTTAGACATTTACTAGCTATGTGACCCTGGGCAAGTCACTTAACCCTGTTTGCCTCAGTTTCCTTGTCTGTAAAATGAGCTGAAGAACGAAATGGCAAACCACTCCAGTATCTCTGCCAAGAAAACCCCAAATGGGATCACAAAGAGTTGGACACGACTAAAACAACTGAACAGCAACAAAACATAAAAGCAGAGGGTGTATCCCTTTAAAACCTAAAGCTCTGAATGAAGAGAACTTTCTGTCCTCTGATTTCCTTCAAAATTCATCTGAAGTAGACTTCCTCTTCCCCCCTTAGCTGTTAATGCTCCACTTCCCCTTTCAGATTATCCTCCATATATTCTGTTTATATCTTGGATGCTCCTTGAAGATAGGGAGGGACTTTTTATTGTGGCCTTTCTTTGTATCTCCAGTATTGAGGACACCTAGTAAACAAATTGATTGACAAACTGGAATTCAGCCCAGGGCTTATATGGTACTGAAGGTAGATTGTCTTAATAGTACAATAACTAAACACAATTTCTTCATCTCTTGATTTATGTATGGTCTAATGAACAGTGAGACTTTAAAATACCGGCAAGGGTTCTTGGGTCACACTTGGTAGTGGGGACTTTCCATTTCAGGTACTTTCCTCCTATCTGTGGCTAGTCTGCTGGGAAGAGATGGTTTCTTTAACCAAGATAAAATGACTGGTTTCTTACTTATCTAACAGGATGTAGGAGAAAGACTGGTTTTACTTATATCTCAATGGTCAAGAGATGAGATGAAGAAAAAAATAAAACAGTACAATAATATTTTCCTTCCCTGGGAACCACCAAATACAATGGTGGTAGCAAGTTGCTTCAACCATCTGACTTGTAAATCAGTTCAGTCTCAACAGTGACTGAGAGTTAAAAGGCACAGGGTTGGAAGTAAAACAACGTCTGGAGAAAGAAGTTTTCCAGTGGGTTGAATGACTAAAAGACTCTGTGGCAAAGGGGATTATAATTTAGCTCAGTAGGAAGAGTAGGACATGACTGAAAAAGACTGAACAGTAGTTGTAGAGGCAATACAACAGGTGCTGGTCAGGTTATTGAGTCTCAGTACTAAGGATCTTGCAAATATATCCCAATTGGCTGGCTCCTACTTGACCCCGCCTCCCCCTTTTTAAATTTCTGAAGAAATATTTAACTTTCTTGGCATGTGGGCAGTTATTGTTAATAAAGGAATTATCGATGGCGGGAAAAGACAGTAGGAATTTTGCGCTCTATTAACTTTACTCAGAAGAAGAGCAACACAGAAATAAATCCAATGATACACACACACAAATATATAGAGAGAGAATATGCTGTACAGATACACATATTTGTATGAATGATGCACATACATACAAATGCATATTTGTTTATATATATGCATGTGTATATGTGTAAATATATATGCATATGTATCTGTATGTCATATATACATATATGCATGTATATCTATATAAATAACCATCTCTCTCTACATATATATATATATATTTCTTTGATCATTTTCAAAAATACTAGTCCACATAAAAAATTACTATATTTTTCAGACCATGAGATCCAATTAGAATTTAAGGGGAAAATATGCCTCTGCATTATTACTAGTCCATATATCTGATACCTGGTACACCCTTTGAGGGAGGAAAAGGAAGAAAGCGGCAGGAAGCTGCTAGTCTATGTTGTTGGATTTGTTTGTTTTTAGGGAGGGATATGGAGTAGAGTGGGGATGGATAGTGAAAATATGGAAAATCTGTTGGAGAATAGGAAGGGATCATTCTCTTGCCTATATGCAGGGTCACTGCATTCTCTCCCCTGATTACCTATGAGAGTAAGCAGCTGCTGGGTTAGAGATCATTTTGGAAGCAAAGCTCAAAGATAGAAGAAATCAGTTATCCTTGATAAGTGTAAAATCATCAGATGTGGTTGCTGTCTCAGAAAGTTAACTCCCACTAAATCAAATGGTCCTATAAACAGCTCTCAGGTGAGAAGTCAGACTTCCTTTTGTCTTTCAACCCTGTCACAGATTACAGATCTCCTCTATTGATCTTTCAAAAGACAAGTCCTAGGCTACTGTACTGTGAACATTTCAAGATTTTTTTTTTTGAGATTAAAAGTGTATTTAACAATCCCACTAATACATTAAATATGCTTCTTTTCTATACTGAGTTTTGAGGGACCCTTACCTTTGAGGGACCCCTTTCATTTTCTCCTGGGATCTGCACTCTTTAGATTCTTACAATAGAGAGAAAACAAAGGTATCAGTCACTATGAACTGAAACCTCACCAAATATATTTAATGGGCACCATAAACATAGGAAGTCTAATGGTTTCAGTTGATTATTAAAGAGATACTACTAGCCCACATGACTTCCCTGTCTGGGAAAGAAATCCAAAGGTCCTTTGACAGTGAGAGAAATGCCTACCTGTTTAGGCCAGGGTGGGTGCAATGAGGGGGGAAGAGGAAGAAATAATTTGGCTATCAAAGAACTAGCTGCCAAGTGAACAAATTACCTAACCTTTCCCTTCCCTACCAAGTTTTAGCAAGGGTTTTTCATTGAAATTCAAGCATATTTGAGAGCTACCGAATGAAATCTACAGAGTCAAAATTCTATAATATGCTTAAATCCATATCCTTAAACACCTAAGTCTGAAAGACATAAAAATTAAGAAGCAATGCAGTCATTGAACAGCAAGGCAAATCTACATTTTAAACTGACATACAACATATGATACTTCATATCAATAGGACAAAATACTGAAACAGGTGAAGTGTCATATTGCATTGAAAGAAAGGTAGTGCACGCTATTTAGTTACCTAAGTCAATTTACAGAAAAAATGGGATCCTAGAAATCCTTCTCCAGCAAACCAAGTGCAGATAATCTAAAGGCCAGGAGTGCATGTTTTAGATTCCATGTGTCTGTTCCTTTAATAAGTTAAGGGAACATGAGGTAATGAGAATGCAAATAATGCATTCTGGATTTTCCTGCTAATTGTCCCAGGCAAGAGAAATTCATAATGCTTCAGAAACTTAAGGCCTAGTTGAATATTTGGGTGATGGCCCCCAGTCAAAATGTTAATTACAAAATTGAAATCTCTCTATACATCTAGTTTGCAAAGATTGGTCTTTTTATAGAAAAAAAGTCTGCTTGCTCCATCCATGTCCATTTCACGCTTCTTATAACCTGACAGCATTATAACTCTGCTCTTATTGACCTTTGATTTAGATTCCCAAACTGGTTGAGGAAAACCTTTATTTGTTCTTTCACAAAAAATATTATTTTAAGACTACCGTATCATATAAACCCACAATAATTACAACTTTTTACCCCAGCCCCTAACCCCCTAAAATTTTCACAGTCCCTACACCTTAACAGGTACTGCCAAGGGCACTAAAGTGCATTTCCACGTGGGGGCATAGGGCTCAAAGGTGCTACTAGACAAGCTAAGAACAAAGACAATGCCATTTTTATTGTTTTTGTTTCTAAAGTGGCAATTCCTTTTACCTCCTTCCCTGGAACTAATTGTGGGAAGGCACTGATCCAGATCCTAGCAGGAGGATTGTCCTAACCCTTACCTTTAGAGAAAATTGTGTATGGACCTGCACAAATAGATTCATTTATTTGTTCAAAATAGCAAAAATAGGCCTAGTTCACCTTTAAGAAAGTATCTGCAGATCGTATTAGTAATGTTCATAAAAATGCAGATGGAACGCTAGATGCAATCCATGTGGGCATGCTCTGGTGTGGCTCTTAAGTTTAAATGAACATATGTTAATTTCCATCAAAACATGATCTGCTAAACTACCATAAATAAAATACATATGAACAATTAAATCTTTTTCTTACAATAATTACTTTTACATTAAAAAGTCACCATCAACTTCAGATAGATTGAAAATTAGGACTCTAAATCTGATCATTTCCAAGTATTAGTTAATAATCTTGCACAGGCCCGAGAATCAAAAAACTTGGAGCTTTGATCTATACAGGTTGGCAGGTATCACAGAGTTTGACGGGTCAGTGACTGAAATATGCATTTTTAAATTTAGCTCTTTTTTTTTATCAAAAATGTCTGATTTATTTCAAAATCCTTGTATGAACTTGTATTTGTGCAATGCCACTGTCCCAAAAGCTAGAAAGAAGAAACAAAAGCATCTGGAACGTTAACTACAGTCCTTTTCTTGGTCCACAGTTTAAAACAATGCTGAGACTAGGAAATCCAATTAAATTACAGTGTATTTAAATATAGGAAGGTGATTTTGGGACAACTTAACCTGCTACACAGGGACGGTCTCAATCACTGATGACTTGATGCATTCTTCGTGCAATCTGCTCTTTTCCGAAAGGCTTAAGGAATTTTCAGCAGGATGCTCAACTATGTGACTGTCACCATTCAAAGCAGAAACATATCTCTCTGGGGAGGGACCTTTCAAATAAGAGTGAAATTCCACTTGAGGGTGGTTTGGCCTGTGTTCAGGATATAAGCTAGTACATGGCACATGGCTATCATTTTCTGACGAAGAGCAGCAGACTATTACAGAGGGGTTTGCAGATGGGTAATGGGAGCTACCATAGCTCTCTTCTGTTTGTCGGGCATAGTCAACAAACTGTTCTGATGTCATGCTGTAAGGCACCAGAGAAAGGGTACCATTTTTAACAGTTTCTCTTTCAGAATAGTTCTCAGGAATTTGATTTGTGGTGCCTGGGGCATGGTTGTCTATTTGGTAATATAAAGTTGAGGAGCTAGTGTAAAAAGAGGCATTCTTAGAGTGGCTTTCATGTACAGTAGTGCCATCGGAGTAGCAGAGAACTGAAGGAAGAGGCACAACTTCAGCATGGGTGCCCAGACCTTCCACAAAATGATCTCCTTTCTCATCTTCCTCATCTTCCTCCTCTTCTTCTTCCTCCTCTTCCTCTTCATCTGATTCACTTGGTGCTAGACTTTGTGTGCTGGAATCTGTAACTCCACTACAAAAGCTACTCCCGTCTTCTTCCTCTTCTTCATCTTCCCCTTGGCAATCTAACTCCTCTGCCGACTGCAAATGCATCACTGTTGTTTGGGGTTCTGTTTCAATCTCAAAATTCTCTGCAATCGAATATTCCACAGGGTGGCCAGCAGGGCCCATAGAACTAGTGTGAGCATTTATCTCACTGTGGCAGCCATTCAACGTGGGAATTTGCTGCTCTCGGTTTTTCTCCAGTTCGAGTTTCATTATTGTGTGCAAAAAGTGAGTCCGGACTCGGATAGGATTAAATTCAATCCTACCTGCTGTATTACTACATCCCTCTTTAGTGCAACCACATGGGAAAGACATCCGATCCACCTTAAAAAGAGAGAGAGACAGAGACAGAGAGAGAGAGAGAGACAGACAGAGAGAGAGACAGAGAGACAGAGAACATATTATGAAAACATGACAAATAAAACAACTCAGGTCTTTTCTATGACTGAGTGAGAGTCTTGATTCAGGGAATTTAAATGATTAGCAGGTGATTAGCAAACTAGAACTCAATTTAAAAAAGTGAATGAAATCAGGTTTTTTGTTTTAATAGCAATTACTTCCAAATTCATGGTTTTCTCTAAAATGAAAACTACTCACAATCTCAGGAATAGTTAATTTCTGCTTAGAGGAGAAAAGTATGTTCCATCATCTGTTCTTTGGAATTAAGATCAAGACTCAGCATTTGTCTTCCTTTTCAGTATTTTTTTTTCATTTACATTATTGTAGTCCCGTGTGATTCTGCTTATTCCATTTTGCATTGTTTTATATCCACCTTCCCTTGTTTCTCTGAATTCTTCCTTTTTGTGATTTCTTATAACATTCCATTAAATATCTATCAGCTTGATTAACCAGATCCCAAACAACAGGTACCCAGTTTGCTTCTAATGTTTCCACACCATCCTTCCTATATCCTCACTGCTTCCCATCCTTTCTCTAAGTGCTCTTCCCCCCTCCCCCCACACAGTCTTTCTCACTCTTCTGATTCATCATAACATGCCAACCCCCTTGTTTGGTGCATGTGCCTCTCTTTTTCCCTTCCTCTGTGTCTTGGCTAAAGAAACACTCCAGATTAACACCACTTGACTCCATTCACTCCAATAGTCTTCCCTTGGTTTTCTTCCTCCATTTCTAGATCCTCAGCCCTTGTGTGTATCTACATAGTTCTACTTATGGTTGTGTATATTCATGTTCTCATCCCATACACTTCTTTGTTTTTGTTTTCTCTCTCTACCATTTGACCCTTATATTACATTGCAAAGCTTCTCAAAGCCAAAGATTTTTCTACTTTATTAACTTTCCAAGATTTTTGGATAGTCATCAGTACACTGTTAAGTGCTCAAACATCAAATGACACAGCTCAACTCTTCAAGGTATAAGACTTTATATGGTTATAGCTCCTCTTTTTAATTTTTTTCTTGTTTGTCCACATCACTGATCATAGACCTAGAGCTGAAAGCGTCCTCCGAGGCCAGTTAATCTAACTCCCCCATTTCACAGATGAGTAAATTGGGGCCCAGGAACTCAGTAGGTATTTACTGGCCAAGTTCCATATTTCACTTCAGCTTTCCAGAAAGCAGAAGAAATGAGAATATGTGGCCATGGTTGTCATTACTTTACTTGCGGTGGAATAAGGAGATAGGAGCCATGGCAGTGGGAGACTTTTTTAGTTCTTTTGGGAGAAAGGAAGGGCAACCAGTTCCTATGCTGTCATTCTGCTACAGCAAAAACCAAAATAACTTCTACCAGTAAATCTGTTTTCATTGCCCATTCCCCCCCCACACATCTGGGTTTCTCCTCCTCTCTATCCCTCAGGCAGCATTAAGGGTCACCTTTTATTGATTGAAGTGGGGAAATAGGCTCAGAGTATAGCAACTACCCTCACATTATTGCAGGGGTGAGCTTCTCTATTGGGGAAGCCAAGGCTCCTCAGGAAATTGACAGTTAAATAATCACAGAAAGTAACAGAGAGGGACAGAGCTGGATGGCATCTAATCCAATGTTCTCTTTTTACCAATGAAAGGAACAAATCCTAGCTTATATACATAATAACAGAGACTGAACCAAAATCCAGGTTTGTTGATCCCTAGTCCAGTATTCCTTCCATTAAATACGCTGGCTTTTATTAAATATCACTTGCATACTACATGGAAGGTTAGGCAACCAGACACATTAATAGCAGAATCAGAGGCTCAAAGGATCATAGGTAAGCACTCTTCATTTTACAAATGAGGAAATGGAGACCCACAGTGGTTAAACAACTTGTCTAGGTCACATTGCTAGGAGGTATCTGAGGTAGGATTCCAATCCAAATCTAGCCCTCTATTCCCTACACCACGCTGTCTCATGTTTTTTAGAAACTTAAAGGATTGGGATTGCCATTATCTTCTCTCAGGCTACCTGTTTAGACGCCAAGAGAAGTTCTTAGGCGCTATAAATTACAATTCAGCCTATGCATAAATGCCTGCCAAGTAGCAAATGTACTCCAAACTTTTCCACATGTCGTATTGCACATTTAGAGCCACATTCTATATAAATACATCTTCTAGGTGTCCACAGTTACTATGTTTGCCTTTCAGTTAATCTCATCCATCACCTTCACACCCGAGTCCTTGCCCTTGAGTGTGTCTTGGTGCCAGTCCCTTCTACATCCGGCAATTCATTACACACGATACAACTGCCTGTTTAGTGGTGGGTTTCTAATCTCTTTACTTCCAAATCCCTGTTCCACAGATCTTTACCTGGCACTTGATACCCGCGAGGCTGCAAGTACAAATTTCCGGATCACAGAATACTCTACAGTCGCAGCCACAATCCTCTCTTGATAGGCGGATGGCCCGCAGCTCATGTTTTTCTTCCACATCAATCTTTTTCACTCCGGAGGCTCGAAGCAGCGCCCTTCGTTTCTTTGTTGGCAGGGGTTGCAGGAAGAAGTATTCGTCTACCTCTGTGTTGTCTAAATCAATATCATCATCCGAAATGTCATCTAATGTAAGAGTGCTGGCTTCTTCGGATTCCACGGTACCATTCTTAGTCATCTAGGAGCGTAGAACAGTAAACAAGAGGCTTAGCTCATTTCAATCCTACAGCCCACACTTTTATCATGTGTATCTGGCAGTTCTAGTACCATTTTCTCTCCAAAACAAGTGCAGCTAACTATTCCATACCACTTGATATGCATAACCCAAAAGAATCATAGTAAAAGGTTTATCCCCCTATAGACAGAAATATTTTAGCAGCCATTCCTTTTCTTAATAGTCAGAGAAAAAAATTAAAACTATAAAATTATAGTCTTTTAGACACCCTGATAACAGTTAGATGAAAATAATTAGAACTGTGAACTTCCTGAGGTCAGGAGTTGAGGAGTTCTTAAAACCTATTGCCCATGCTTTGTGAGGAAGGTAAGGGGTTATAAACACACATCAGTTAATGTCATTTTGGGACCTGGTTTGGGCAGCTCTGATGTTAGAATAAATACACCCTTGTACAGACAGAGGTGATAGCATCTTAATGGAAGTCATCTCAAGCTAAGTCAGCAAATACACTGTCCTTGAAACCACGACACTGAATACTGGGCTCCCAGAAAAGATATATTCCAGGAAATAAAGTTCTACTGCATTATGATTTCAGGATTTCAGACACAACTAACCGACCAGAATGTTGAGGGGCTGAGAACTCTGATAGGAAGAAATGAGGAGAGTTTGAGTATACTGACAGAGAAAAAGAGGGGAACTGTCTAGAAGCTTAGCCCAAAATAGAACCAACCAAGAAATTCTGCTCTAGAAAGAACAGTTCAAATTTATGCACACTTGCAACTAAAAAATACCAAGGGGTTTGTTTTACACATAACAATTTCGTACATATAACCATGTTTACCTTCTTTATTTGACTATTTTCATTCACTGGTAAACTTCATTAATTGTAATTTCCATAATAGTTTTGGATTGCAAAGCAATTGTCTTTTAACGCTTTCATTACTCTTTGACATTCTCCTTCACAGAAAAATGTTGGCCAGTCAACTATATTTATAGAGAAACCCCTGCCCTTTGTAGGGAAGGAAACAAAGCAAACATTGGCCTCTGCCCTCAGGAAGATAAAACACTCAGATGGAACCTCAGAAGAAAGCTAGACAAAGACGTCCCAGCAATTGCTAACTAATAAATCACAGAAGGTCACTGTCATGCATTTCTCTAATGTCAATTAATGACCTTCGCTTATTTTTAGAAATCCTCTAGATCCTTTCACAATGGTCTTTATGATGTTGCCTACGTGACCTGTTTGTGGTGCTTTGCTTGCTCATAGGTGCTCTTCACTCTCTTCCTTGACTTTTGTTTTTATCCTTAAAATTCTTCTTGTGTTTCTACCTGGCCCATTAAAAGTACCTAGGTTTGGTTTCTAGTTATCATTGTTATTCATTTGGTTTAAGAGAAATGACTATTAATAACCAATGATTTGGAGAGAACATTTCTAAAGTCCTCATTTCCTTGTTCAAAGCCCAGTCTTTGAAGGACATTACTGACCTCTGCAAAGAATTTACCCCACCTAGACCATCTTATCTTGGGAATTCCTGCCCATTGTAATCTACTCAGGTTTGGGTGAGGATCAATTATTTGATTAGATTGCCCTAGACTGGGCAATTTAGAAGTAAATGACATCATCAAAGTTACATGCGGCCAACCCATCACTGGAGTGGGTCCACCTCTCATTGTAATATTAATTCTCTCATTAATTGTTAACCAATCAGAGTTGACTGCCATCCTCAGGAACACTCACTCTTCCAAGGGCATACAAACTGTGAGCCCATTGCCATGAATCCTCTTTGGTCAAAGAGGGATGGTCAAACAACAATTCTTTTTATTAATAAAATAATAGCATTGTCAATAAATGATTCATTACCTAGAAACTGTATCTCTCAAACTTTTTAAACATCAGAGCTTAAAGTAAGATTTTTTTTTCTTATTTGCAAAGATCCTCATGCTAAAAGATTATGAGGTATAGAATAGACCATCAGTTTCTGTGGTAGTGAAAGTTGTGTCAATTAATAAGGATAGAGCCTGGACCTATGATTTCCTTGATGTAGGGAAGTCCCAGATGAGGAAACCTTCTTTACCAATAAAGGTAAACAAACACCTTCTCTGCAACTTATGGTCTTAGAACTGCCTAGAGCATTGAGGGTTTGAATGATTTGCCCAAGGTTAAACAGCCAAAATATTTCAGAAGGGACTTGAACCCAGATCTTCCTGGCTTTGAGGCCAGGCCTCATGTGCAAAATTAGGATGAAGTTTAATTAGTATGGAATTTTTGAAAAAGTAATATCATAGCAAAAACAAGAAATTTAAAAAAGGTATTCTCACTACAATAGAATATAGTTTAAATATATGCTTATATTTCAAATTTATACAATTACAGAATGATAAAATCACATAGTTGGTGGGAAACTCAGGAATTATCAAATCCAACTTGTACCCCAGTTTTAGAGTACCCCAACAAAAGTCATTTAATCTCTGCTCAAAAAACTCTGGTGATAAGAAATTCACTATCTACCAAGACTAGCTAGCATTCCACTTCAAAGCATCTCCTGTGTTTAGGGATTTTTCCCCTTATATTCAGCTGAATTCTCTACTCTGCAACTTCTATCCGCTGCTAGCAACTCTTGCCCCCAGAGCCAAGTAAAGCAAGTCTCCTCCCTCTTCTACATGGTAGTAAAAATAGGTGTTGAATAGTTCTGCTGTTTCTCTGGTCAGCCATTATGGTTATCTTATCCTATCAGTAGTCCAATTTCGCTTTTTTTTAATCTTTCTATTGTCCCCAAATGTATCTAAAGGGAATAATTGTTGTCCTTAGCATTCTTCATAAGTTTCAGTTCCATCTGGGATTTGATATTCCAGACATTCTTATAGTATCATACCACTTGTTCTTATTCACTCTAAGTTATTTGTACTTATTTCCATCTTATGTACATATCTTTTATTTTATTTTTTAATGACTAGTATTTTATTTTTTCCAATTAAATGTAAAGACAATTTTTAACATTCATTTAAAAAAATTTGAGTCCCAAATTTTCGCCCTTCTCCTCCCCCTTAAAATGGTAAGCAATTTGATATAGGGTTATATAGTACATGTCCTTTAAAAATCTGAATTGGTCAATGAGTTTCTTGCATACTTTTTTTTAATTGTTTTTTTATTTTTGTATTACCTTCATTTCTCTTTCTCAATTAACAAAAAATTGTTTTCTCTCCCTTCTTCCCCACTTCCTATTACAAAACCCTGTAATAAATATACATAGTCAAACAAAACAGATGCCCAACTTGGCAATGTCTAAAAATATATGCCTCATTCTGCATCCTGAGTCAGGAGATGGGTAGTATCTTGCGTCATCGGTCCTCTAGAATCATGGCTGATCACTGCATTGATCAGAGTTCTTAAGGAGTTCAAAATTGTTTGTATTTACAATGTTGTATAAATATTTCTCCTGATTCTGTTCACTTGATTCTGTATCATTTCATGCAAGTCTTCCCAGGTATCTCTGAAATGGTTCCTTTTGTCTTTTCTTACAGTACAACAGTATTGTATTACATTCATGTATCATATTCCTCAGTTGGTTGGCACTCCTTTAATTTCCAGTTCTTTGCTACTATAAAAAAAAAGCTGTAATACATATTTTTTTTTACACATAAGTCCTTTCCCACTTTCTTTAATCTCCTTGGGGGGATAGGACTAGTAGAGATATTGCTAGATCTAAGAGAGTTCCTTATATATTCATTTGAGTCTGTCTAGATAACTCCCTTTTTCTTTCTCATTGAGATTGATTGTATTATCAAAATTTTATTCCTGAACTTACTTCCCTTGTAGAATTTTAGGCTACACAAACCTACCTTTAAAATGAGATCTCCTAAAATCTTGGGTCTGTCCCCCCAAGTAGCAAGGCACCCAGAGGAAGAGACAGAAAGTAGCATATTCTAGGTGTATCAAACAAACAGCACCACCACCATGACCATTATTATTTTTTTTTTCAGACCTGGATGGATGCATTGTAGGCCCAAGAGTTTTGGGAGCAGCAGTGTCCTTCCAAAAACCAGACCAGCTTTCAGACCAGTCCCAGCAGCCATAATTAAGGAAGAAATTATTAGAGATGCTTTTTAATAGATGCCTAACACAGGGTTCTGCATTGTTGATTTCCCTTATTATCATGTTAATTCCTTGAGGGCAAAGGCTGTCTGATCTTTGTAGTTGTATTCTTAGCACCTAGAACAGTGCTCAACACTCTGTAAGCATGCCTAATGAGGGCAGCTAGGTGGCACAGTGGGTAGAGTGTCTTAGGTGTCAGGAAGACCTGAATCCAAATTGGTCTCAAACACTTACTAACTGTGTGACACTGAGTGAGTCACTTAACTCTGTTTGCCTTAGTTTCCTCATCTGTAAAATGAACTGCAGAAGAAAATGGCAAACCACTACAGTATCTTTGCCAAGAAAAATCCAGATGGGGACATGAAGTGTCGGACACAATTGAACAACAACCAAAAGCTTGCTCAATAATTGGTTTTTCATGCATCCAAAATGAGACACAAGTATAAAACAAGATTAAAAAAATAAATATCCTAGAATTGTGCATCTTAATGAGTGGCTTAACTTTCAAAGTAGGGGCACTAGGAGGGCGGACCATTATTCTATAATGCAGTTTCATTGTTTACCTTTTGGAACTGCTTCCAAACCCACACAAGAAAATGAATCTCTTGCTTCCAATATGGTTTTTAAAGCTGCAGTAACAATATCAATAGCCTCAGTGAGAAACGCATTTGAAAGCTGCATTATTTAATAGTTACAACTTATAAAACGTCACTTAACTGTCATCTTAGCTTGCAGGCCTTCAGTTGCCAACATGAGGAAGAAGAGCCCATGTTTGAGCAGGTTTATGAATTCTGATAAAATGGCACATAGAATATTACAAAGCTTAGCAAAAATGACTTTTTATTAACTACAAAAGGTTTCACAAAGTACTAAATGAAATCATTAATAAATAAATGGCATATAACATTCA